TTCACAATATCTTTACCCTTAGTTTACCACTTCCAAACACAACACCAACATTGTCAGGTTCCGAGTTCAGAGACATGCTTTAAGCCTGAAGAAAGCTCTACCATTTCTTCTGCTTGAACAATTCTCAGCCCTTGTGTTCGAGAAATACAAACACCTGAGACACACTCAGACTCTTCAAGGTCAACAAGGTATTAGCTCCAAGAATATGTTCTTCAAGAACAGAGAATACAACCCTGGCCGGGTAGCTCAGTTGTTAGGAGTATCGTCCCCATATATCTAGGTTTGGGGTTTGATCCCTGGTCAGGACACATACAAGAATCAATCAATAAATACATGAATAAGTAGAACAAGAAATCTCTCTCTCTCTCTGTGTGTCTCTCTCTCTCTCTCTTTCTCTATCTCTCCCCCTTCCTTTCTCTCTGAAATCAATTTAAAAAGAGAAGAAGAACAGAGACCACATCGGCAGTGCCAGTCTCTGAAAGCAAGTGTTAGACTCACGGAAATTTCTTGTGGCAATGAAGGATGATCCCAAAGCATTTTTGGAGACCAGCCCAGTCTGGCACAGGAGAATGCAGACCATGGTCCAAGGCCATGTGCACAGACAGTATCTTTGTATTCTCCTTTGGTGGTTCTTCTGCAGCCTCTGGACTGATTCCCAAGTAACTACTAAAAGAACTTACACTGCTATTTTGAGATAGTATATTAGTATTATGAAATAATTACATTAGTATCAAAATGTACTTCCAAAAAAAATGTATTGCGGATAAAGCAAGTCACAACATAAGGATAAAAAAAATAATTCTCCCGGCCGGTGTGCCTCAGTGGTGGAGCGTCATCCCATGCACCAAAAAGTCACCGGTTCGATTCCCAGTCAGAACAGCATGCAATTTAAAACTTATGAATTGTTTGCTAAATTGCTTATTTCTGGAGTTTTCCATTTAATATGTTTTTAATATTTTTTATTGATTTTAGAGAAAGAAGAAAGGAGAGCGCGAGAGAGATTGAAACACCCATGAGAAATGGATGTTTCCAAATAGATGGGCTGCCTCGTCCACACCCCCTGCGGGGGATGGAGGCAGCAACCTGGGCATGTGCCCTGATCAGTAACTGAACTGATGACCTCTTGGTGCATGGGAGGATGCTCATCCAACTGAGCCACACCAGACGGGCTCCATTTAGTATTTAAGGACTGAAGTTGACTGTGGGTAACAAACCATGAAAAGCAAAATCACAATAAGAGAGTACTACCATATTGGTATAAAATAGGTCAGGCAAAGCCCGACAATAGAAAACAATAGATTGTTTCATAACTGTGAGCAGCTCTGGGCTCGGCTTCATCTGTTTCGAATTCCAACAGGACATCCTAAGATGGCAAAGGGCCGGGCTGTGACTACAGTTAGGACACGTGCTGTCTGACCCACACTCATGCCTTATCACCAGCGAGAAATACGTTATTTTGGTTTTGCAGAGGCATTCCCTCTGGCCCCTCTCCCTCCCACTCTATCTGAACAAAACATGGAAAAATGTCCTCGGGTGAGGATAAAAAAAAAAAATTTTTTTAATTCTCCAAATCCTTCCTGCACTAAATCTTTCCTCCTGGAGTACATTCTGGTTTTGAAAAGTTTTAGTTTAATACGCAAGATGTAGCACCTCCTCGAGGAGGCAGACAGCCAGTGACCTTTCTGCCTGGCAGAGGTCCCCTTTCTGTGTCCTCCTGCTTCAGCCATCACTCAAGGCCTTCAGACTCCCAGTTCAAATTTGAAGAAAAGAGTATAGGGGCCCAGCCAGTGTGGCTCGGTGGACTGAGCATCGTCCCATCGATTTCCGGTCAAGGCACAAGCGCGGGTTGCAGGCTCAATCCCCAGTGCGGGGCGTGCAGGAGGCAGCCAATCAATGTCTCTCTCATATCAATGTTTCTCTCTCCCTTCCTCTCTCTCTAAAAAGTGAATAAAAACATATTTTTTTTAAAGTATAGGGATTCTTTTTCCTCTATTTCAAACTCATGAAAATGAAAAACAAGCAAACCAAAAAAACACACATTTATATCTAAATGGAACATAACCTAATGTTATTTGTATATTCCCAAACACTGGTGGTTCAAAATGCTTTTCCTCAAGCTCTGATATTGTACCTACCATATCTACTACACACAACTAAAAGACTCCTCAGAACCATGGCTTATTTCTTACCCTGAAAAATCAGTAGAGACTAAAGAAAGTGTGAGTGGCTGGATAAATTAAGCACCTGAAAAAGTTAAATAAAAAATAATGGTTTATTCACATGAACAATGCTGCCATTCAACACTTAGAAGCAAAGTGAAGTTACACTTGACCTACAAAGGCCTCACTGAAGGTCCTAAACTCATTCTGAAAGAAAAGTTTGAAAGATACTGGCTTTGGTAAAATCTAAAAAAACACACTAATTTTTCAAAAAATCTTTACGATTTAACTTCCTTCTTAAATATATACAAATATTACTGATTCATTTTAAGTCAGAAGCTATAAGTTAAAAACCTGATCTGATTAAAGACAAGTCTGACCACTGACCAATATCCTCCCAGCTCCCTAACCCAATTATGGATTAGTCACTGTACAGTTTATTCTGTCGTTTCCCTACTCTGCAAAATATGTCTGACCTGCTGCTCATGACATCAGAGTTTGAGAACAGTCACCTATTTTGTATTTTTTCTGTCCTTATAGTTCTATACTAGTACAGATATTTCACCATTTGTCTCCCCCAAATGGGTATGAATCACTTTATTAGGTTACCCTCATGCATCTAAAATAATGACAGCATGACACAATGGAAAAAGGACAGGTTTTAGACTTGTCCCACACTAGGTCTAAATACTTTATTTGCAACCAAAATGCCTAATAATTAAGTGAAAGATGATTATCAACTGTGATATAGCCACACAATAGAATATCTATGAAAGCTATATATTTACTGAGTTGGAAAGAAGTTCATAATATGTTGTACAAAAAGAATGTGTAGTATAATTTTTTAAAATATAAGTAAAGGTATAAATGCACAAAACAGAAAGTGTAAAATGATTTAGTAACTCATTTTAACAAATATTTACCAGGTACCTGTGATGTGCCAGACACGCTGTATATGCCCAGGTTTTACCAGTGAATAAAATGAAGTTTTTGCCTTTGTGGAGTTCAGATTCTAAGAAGCATCAGGGGGAAAAAAACTCACATTAATATACAATTTAATGTTAGATGTATTACAACCATGAAGAAAAGTTAAAAGGGTAGGAAGAATGTTAGAGGTATGACATTTTAGGCAGGTAGTCAAAGACAGCTTCCCTTAAGAATTACCATGTAATATGATCTCACTTATTTGTGGAATATAATGAACATAACAGTCTGAGGAATGGGGTAGTCCCAGAGACGTGGAAGTGGGGTACAGACTGACACTCCCCAGAAGAGGGGGTGGTGGGGGAGAGAGAAACCACAGAACTTATATGCCTGTATGCATGAACAGTGGACATGGACAACAAAGCTGGGGACAGGGCGGGGAGGGAGGAGAAGGGGGGAATCAGTGGGGGGGGGGGGGAAACATCTGTAACAAAAATAAATTAACTAATAAAAAAAAGAAAAAGAAAGAAAAAAGAAGTACCATGTAAGCACATGAATATGAGGGAGGGAACCTTGAAGAGATCTGGGAATGAGGGTTCCAGGGGAGAAGTATCAGGTTTGAAGCTGCTGACGGAAACACACTTGGTGTGCCCTAGGGAGAGCGTCAACATGGCTGAAGAGGGAGGAGGAGGGTGGTGCGAGGTTATGAGGCAACCAGGAGCAAATTCGGGCTTTTGAGGCCACAGTGAGAATGCTGGATTTTTAAACAGAAATGAGAAGGTAATGAAGAGTGTCAGGAGGGGAAATCAGATTCACATTTATAGAGTAAAATGTCAACAGCACTTATCCCTGGGTAAAAAAATTTTGGATTTTCCTCCTACATTTTGCTTATCTGTATTTATTCTCATTTTCATTTCATATTCATTTATTTCTCCCCCACCCCACCCATCTCTAGCTCTCAAACTCTCTCAAAAGATGAATCCTACCATTCTCCAAACCAAAACCCAAAAATTTCTAAGATTCCTTTTATTCATTAACCATTTATTAAGTGCACAACCACCATTAAAGTAAAGAAAAAAAATTTACAATAACACGTTTTAAGAACAAATAATATTTTATTTCATCCCTGAAAACAACAACAAAAAGACAAAAATGTCCACATCTAATAAGAAAGACTGAACAATTATTCCAAACTTTACCTGGCAATGGTATATAATTAATTTCTTCACATAAAGATAGAGTACAGCGAAAGTTTAGAATGCTATCTTTCATGAAATAATATTTTCTCATACTTATTTTAATAAAACATTATAATTATTGCTACTATGTATGGTAGCACTATAATAATGAACTATATCCAAAATCAAATTCAATATAGTCTACATCTAGAAGCTAGCTGCACTTCAGCAGTTATTATAGAGAATAAATACTATTAAATATAGGGCACTATATGGCAATTAAATTTGCTACAAGGGACATTTAAATAAAGGTGTCCTTTGTTTTATACTAGAATTAGCCAATATTAGGATCTCTTGTGCTATATATATTAACTGTTTTCCTGAAAAGATAGTCAATCTTCATAATTTAAATTATATCTTAAATGATCTTAATTATTTTAAGTGGTCATTACATAAAATGAATACCTACTGTATCTGTTATACAAATTCAAATTTTCATAAAGCAGGATACTCTTATATAATATAACGTTACCATTTTCCAAGCAATTTGATGCAACACAAATACCTTTACACATCTATACATCTGGCTAAAGTCCTTGAGAGCCCCAGTCTCACAAATATCTCCATCTCCCTTCCCCTGCCAACATAAAGGCAAAAATTATCCAAACATGGAAATAATGTGCTTCCCTGACAGATAGACACTCAGAGGATTAAACTTTTAAACTGACATTCATAAATGTGAAAAATCATGAATACTTCTTTTTAATCTCATCATAAAATATCTTTTATTCTTCAGAATTCGTGAAAGAAAATGTTACATATGAGGTTAGAGATTACTATCTTAACATTATTTAATTGTCCCAATGTTTAGAATAGGTTACAGACAGTGGCTACTACCCATTTCAAGATTATACTCATACAAATGTAATTTTTTTAAATATACAATAGTTAACCTCCAGTTATTCTGAAGGATAGTGCAAATGAAGACATTCTTTGGGTCATGATTTCAAAACATTATTTTCAATATTATTACTTCCTTTCTCCGCTCAGAATCTGAGTAACAAAATATAGTACTAGAAGTAAGCACACTTTCTAACAGTATTAGTCTAACAGTTATGTATCTTGAGAACAAACGACAGAATGATTTAATAACAATATTCTTTATTTGTCTGAAAAACATGTTATATATTTAAATAAATATTTTATTGAAATGAACCCATGTCTTTCAGTGTTTTTATTTCAGCTTGATCTCAAACTCAAAAAAGTTTATACAAAGATCACCTACCTGCATACCACATCAACCATGTTACACCCTTGAAGGATATAGTTCAGCATTGAAGACACTTGCCTGAAAGCAAACTAATAACTTAAAAATGTATATACAGAATAAGAGTTCATGAATCCAGCATATTCCTTGAAAATACAGAGAGCTTTAATTGTAGATTGTTCTATCCTAGCCAGCGATTGAAAAGCTTTTCTGCCCTAGGGTATAATCCGCGGTGGATGGAGCAGCACAAGGTGATCTGTAACTGCTATCTAATGCTGCCTGCTGCATTAGTCCTTTTGTTTGTAGTTACTGGCACCAGATTCCCACTAGTTCCATTTGTAGTGTTGGTTGCAGAGCCATTCACAACAATATAGTCGACTTTGTTCTCTAGTTTCACCAATCGTTGTAAAATGTCATCCAAAAGGACAGCAATTGTTCTTTTTAGATCCGCTAGGGGGGAACAAAATCAAAATAAACCATATTAAACACTTACAGAGCACTTAATACTTGTGCTTTATAGTTTGAGGAAACAAGTGAACAATTACTGAATCATCTGCAAGAAAATATACAGGAAAGTACTTATACCACAAATAGAAAAGGCCTAATTATTATTATATTTTTTCTTTTTTGTTCAGATAGAGTGAGAGTGAGAAAGAGAGAAACATCGACGTGGAAGGGACACATCGAGTGGCTGCCACCCACACAACCCAACCAGGGCCAGGGACAAACTGCAACTGAGGTGCGCGCCCTCAGCAGGAACCGAACCCGGGTCTCTCTGGACCACAGGTCAACTCTCCAACCGCTGAGCCAAACCGGCCAGGGCGAAAAGGCCTAATTATTTTAATCAACAGATCACACATAGAGCTTCTTAAAGGAATTTCAGAGTTATAAATATGGGGAAACTTCTCTCTTTTCCAGTGCAATAAAACATATTTAAAGTCTGGCTCAAAAGTTAGTCCCTTGTAAGGAACTCATTTACCTTGAATTTATTCGGCAATTTATGAGGATGACTGTGGACTAAGCAGGTAAAGTGAAAAGCTAGCTGAGCTAAGTAAGAAATTCAGTGAAATGCAGAAACAAGAAAATTGGAACCTCCACAGTCTGAAATGTGGGGGAGCCTAGGATCCAGGGCAGATGCCAGGAGCCTGATTTATACAGCAGACATACCAGCAGTTCTGACTTAACTTTCTTCCAGAAATGATGGGGCAGACTATATTTTTTAATCTCTTTGGGAGGTGAAGGGGTTTCAGAAGAACTACTGGGCAACAATGAAATTATGACCCCTTTCTTCCTTAGAATTCTCTTTTCTCAGGTTTCCCAAAGGCACCTAGTGCACATTAGGTACTTGATCAGTTGCAACTAATACTGTTATTTTTTGTTGATCCTGACTCCCCCACCCCCCAACCCCCGCCAAAAAAAAAAGCAGACCAAGCCCTAATCTGTGATCAGGGGAAAAATCATCTAATAATAACCGATAAATTTGCTGATGATTCTCTTAAAATATTAGAAAAAGCACTAGCAAAAGAAAAAATAAACTGGACTTCATCCAAATCTAAAACTTTTAGGTATCAATGGACTATCCAGAAATTGAAAAGACAACCTACATAATGGGAAAAAATATGTGCAAACCATATATCTGGCAAGGGCTTATTATCAAGAATATACAAAGAACTTCTAAACTCAACAACAAAAAGATAACCCCATATTTTAAATGAGAAAAAGACTTTACTAGACACTTCTCCAAAGAAGATATGCAAATAGACAACAAGCACATAAAAAGATGCCCAACATCACAATGAGATACCATTTCACACCTACTAGGATGGCTATGATCAAAGAAAGGGAAAATAAGCAAAGGTTGGGAAATTGAAACACATACATCATTGGTAAGAATATAAAATGGTACACCTACTGTGGAAAAAGTTTGGCAGTTCTTCAAAAAGCTAAACATAAAATTACCATGTGACCCAGCAATTCCAGTTCCAGGTATATACCCCAAAACTGAAAACAGAGACTTAAATACTTGTATACCAATGCTCCTTTCAGAATTATTCACTATAGACAAAAGGTGGAAAGAACCCATGTCCATCAATAGATTAAGAGATCAAAAAAATGTGTTGTACATGTACAATAAACCATTATTTAGCCTTAAAAAGAAATGATGTTTCGATACATGCTACAACACGAATGAACCTTAAAGACATTATGCCAGGTGAAATAAGCTGGACAAAGGACAAATACTGTATGACTCCACTTACATGGACTATCTAGAATAGACAAATACATAGACAGAAAGTAGATTAGACGTTACTAGGGCCCAGGGAAGGGGGAATAGTGAGTTATTGCTCAATGTCCACAGTTTCTTGTGTGAAGTGATTCAAGTTTTGGGAAGTTAGCGGTAATTGTTGTATAACTCTGTGAATATAATTAATGCCACTAAACTGTACACTTACAAATGACTAAAACAGCAAATTTTATGTTATATACATTTTACCAAAATGTGAATATATATGTTATATATGTCTTATGGGGAAAAAAAAGATACCAGAAAGTAATGACAGTTATAGTGGTGGGTGGGGATAAAAGGTGATTAGAAAAAGCTTATCAAAAAATAAAACAAACCTGGTCGATGTGGCTCAGTGGTTGAGCACTGACCCATGCACCAAGAGGTCTCAGTTTGATTTCTGGTCAGGGCACAGGCCCAGGTTGTGAGCCAAATCCCGTGAGGGGCATGCAGGAGGCGGTCAATCAATGTTCTCTCTCATGGATGTTTCCATCTCTCTCTCCCTCTCCCTTCCTCTCTCTATAAAATCAATAAAGAAAAAGGAAGGAAGGAAGGAAGGAAGGAAGGAAGGAAGGAAGGAAGGAAGGAAGGAAGGAAGGAAGGAAGGAAGGAAGGAAGGAAGGAAGGAAGGAAGGAAGGAAGGAAATGTAATACTGTATACAGTGAGGGAAAAACTTTATTTGGACAAAGTCCAGTCATGGAAGAATGAGACTTTCCAAGCTGTATATCTTCTGGCATCATTCATCATGAGCATTTTTATTTCTAGCAGAAATGTAAAAATAATAATAATAATAATATAAGAAAAATCTTTTGACAAAAAGTATTCAGGTACTGAAATGTCATGATATATACAACTTCTTTCAAATGGTACCTCCAAAAACCATATATATTTGCATAGCAAAAGAAAGATAAAAACAAATGTAGAAATTTTTTTAGCAAATGATGAGTCTACATGAAAGATGTATGATGTTTACCATACAATTATCCCTAATTTTCTGCAGATTAAAAAGCTTCAAAATAAAAGCCTGGGAGAGAAGACTTTGTTAATTAAGGCCTTTCAATCCAGAGCTATAACAGTATTGGTAAATAGGAGAAAATTAAATATATATATTTTTAATCTTTTTTATTTAAAAAATTTTTCTTCTGACCCCATTTTTATTTTTTTAATATTTATTTCTGTTACAGATGTTTCTTTTTCCCCCATTGACAGCCTCTCCCAATCCCGCCTCCCTCCCCCCAACCCCACCCCAGCATTATTGTCTATGTCCTTGTTTATGCATACATGCATGTAAGTTCTGTGGTTTATCTCTTCCCTCCCTACCATGTCCACCTCTTGTGAGATTTGTCAGACTGCACCCCACTTCCATGTCTCTGGGTCTATTTTGTTCCTCAACTTGTTTTGTTCATTATATTCCACAAATAAGTGAGATCATGTGATATTTGTCTTTCTGATTCACTTGTTTCTCTTAGGATAATATTCTCCAGGTCCCTCCATGTCATCTCAAAAGATAAGAGATCTTTCTTTCTTACAGCAGCATAGTATTCCATTGTGTATATGTACAATTAAATTTTTTTTAATTCTTCAGCAACAAGCCTAAAAGATAACTACTAGATCTCTGTTCTCCCCTGACAGTCACCCCTGTATCATATATGAAGAGGTAGTAATCTAGGCCAGAGAAAGCTAGCTAGAAAAGACTAAGGGTAGGGGGTTTACCAGCTTTTTAAAATAAAACGAAGCTAAAGTCCTGGGAAGTCTGACACCAAGCTGATGTGTGACATGAATTATAAAGGTACAATCTAATCGCTGATTGGAGTTAGGGCTAGAAACAGCAATTAAAGGAAAGTTGGGATTAATGAGAAACAACTATATGACAAGTTTACTTGACCAATATTCTAAATTATCATTATATATCCCCTTTCACACTTTCTAAAATCGTTTCAATAGAATATTACAAAAGGCCAAGAGATTTGGACTACCTTGTTCCATGCTATAAAATCAATTAACTGAGCTGTGGCCAGTTAGGCTCAGCGCTTAGAGTGTTGGACTATGGACCAAAGGATCGCAGGTTTGATTTCTGGTTAAGGGCATGAACCTGGGTTGCAGGTTGGATCCTGGGTCCTGGGTGGCTCATGCAGGAGGCAACCAATCGATGTGTCTTTCTCACATTGATGTATCTCTCTCTCTCTCTCTCTCTCTCTCTCTCTCTCTCTCTCTCTCTCTCTCCTTCCTTCACTTCCTCCCTTCCACTCTATATAAAAATCAATGGAAAAATATCCTCAGGTGAGGATTAACGACAACAAAAGAAATCAGTTAACTGAAAACCAGAACATACTAATGTTTCCTGAACTTGGGATCATTTTTAAATACACCACAACTGCCCTTTTCTCTAGATTCATAATACAATTTTATGTTTACATTCCATGGGACTGTATATTAATGAAAGTTATATATTTATAATTATATGGGAGTCCACATAAGCCCTATCACTGAAGGTGATAGCAAAAAAACCTCTTTCCCTACTGTGAGTCCCTGTTCAGAACCCCTAAAAGTAACTTGAAAGTGGATGGAGAACATATCATACCATCCTTTTACTCTCAGCTCACCCAGCTTGATGATTCATCACACAACAGACACTCAACAAATGTTTGAAAAAAGATTCTGCTGAATGTCCATTTCATGTGTTTGGTAGCTTGAGGTTGACATGAAGATCAGATTTAGAAAATAAAACCCTTTAAGGTTGCTCTATTTCTGTTTTAAGCTTCCTATTCTGAGAGAAGAAATCAAATAGTTTAAGGGAAAAAGAGAATAGAAAAAGAAAATGTAAAAATTACAAAGGCACTTAAGAGCATAGATACTATCACAACAGTACCTAGCCCAATTATTTCACAGTACACAAAAATCAAAAGGATATAATGCTATTAAATATACTAAAGATATTGGATATAAAAAGATTCTAAAATACTAAACGTACTCAGAAACGATGAGGCACAGCAGGAGCCACTATCATCCCAAAGCCGATGGAACACAAGAAGCCAACAGTGATGTTACCGGAGCCCAAGTCCAAGACACCCAGTAGAAAACAGTCTGGCAGAAGCTACCACTACAAAGGAGATACCACCTGAGGCAGAGAGAGAGAGAAATACCCTAGCCTTTTCTTCCTACTTT